TAATTTTATTTTGGTTTAATTAAAACTGCTTTGATAAGCGGTACTGTAAATAAAACAAACAAAATATGACTAATGTGTCTTATTTATTTACTCATTTTACTTAAACGAACTGCTAGTATCAAAATCGTTTTGGTCACACTATACAGGGTTGCAACACGCATGTTGGCAGCGCCATCATTTAATGTCAAGACTTTATAGACAAACTGTACACACCAGGAGAAAAAGTTTGTGTCGATGAGTCATTGGTCGCTTGGCGCGGCAGACTTATTTTTCGCCAATATATTCCAAAGAAAAGAGCCAAATATGGAATAAAAGTGTTCAAACTGTGTACTGAGAAGGGATATACATGGAACTTGATTGTGTATTATGGTAAATCGAAGGAACCTAACACAGAAGTCTCAGAAAAAGTAGTACTATCTTTAGCAGAGGGTCTTTTCAACGAAGGCAGGACTATGTACACAGACAATTATTACACGAGTGTTCCACTTGCACTGCGAATGCGTAAAAGAAAGACACATTTAGTAGGGACATTGAGAAATAACAGAAAATACTTGCCAAAGGAAGTTACCAACACAAAACTAAAAAAAAGAGAAATAGTAGCTCAGCAATCAAGTGAAGGCATCGTAGCTTTAAAATGGCGTGACAAGCGGGATGTGTTTATACTTTCCACAAAGCAATCTGGTCTAAAAACGATCGCCAAAAGGAACAGAAGAGGTGAAAGCATAAGGAAACCTGCATGTATTGAAGATTATAATCTAGGTAAATCATCAATAGATGTGAGTGACCAGATGGCGACTTATGGGTCAGCCTTACCTAGATGCACCGAATGGTATCGGAAACTTATGTTTGAGATTATATGGGGCACGAGCTTGGTGAACGCCCATTTCTTGTATAACCAGTATACCTATAAAAAGAAATTAACAATCACAGAGTTTCGTGAACAAGTTATCACTGGTATGCTTGAAAGATCCAATCACACATCCGTGACTGCTACCCCTTGCTCAATCAATGCTAAACATTACCTGGTTCCGAATATAAAAGATGGGGTGAAAAAGAAAACTCGTTGTTCTGAATGTTATAATATGGTCGACAAGGAAAAACCATCGACGGAAAGCTACGAAAAGCTTCCCAAGTTGTAACAAAATGTTCTGTTTGTGAAGTGACCTTCTGTAAAAGTTGTTTCAATGATTGTCACTAATTTTCTGTTTCATGTTCAGTTGCTTATATAATTTTTTTTACTATTTAGTCTTTTCCACTGCCATAATATAGTTAATAAAAATACAAAAAATATAAATGAATATTGATTACTTGCCTCCTAACCAAAAAAATTAACCTAAAATTAAAAAGTACATTTGTAAAATCGCCGATTCCCAGACCATTTACATCGGAAATATGCGCCAGGCCAGGGCTTTCATTTTAGTATAATAAATGTATAGAAAACGTGTTCCTAAAGGATACACGGCACGTTTACTAAATACAAAAATGTGTATACTTTTGAATACACAGTGTTCTAGACACTGTGTGACAAAAAGATACACATGGCGCCTAAGGTTTTAAGTGAACGACTATTTCAATCATTGCAACATGTCATCAAAGCAGTCAATAAAATCCGAAACAACTCTTTAAATGACAGATTATTTAATCAGCTTTGTGTTGATAATGATGAAGATTTCACTATATTGATCTTTCACAGAAGTGCGTTGGCTATCAAAAGGAAATTGTGTCTCATGTTTACAATCTGTTTGACTCTGTCACAGAGTTCTTGGAAAACAAAGACACAGAATTGCGCGAAAACCTCATCACATCAAAGAATGATATCGCATACCTGACAGACCTTTATACATTGCTTAATGATATGAATCTACAACTTCAAGGCGATGACTTGAACTTAATAAAAACAAAAAATGTCGTCGCTGCTTTCGTAGCCAAGCTGCTCTTACACAAAAAGAATATCGGCAAACGTGAGTTCCATAATTTTCCCAATTTATCAGAATCCTGCAACAACTACGACTTGCTCGTCTAATGCCAACATTTGGAAAATCTTCACAGTGATTTCGTTGAATGATTCCAGGACATTTTGAAATTGGAAATACCAGACTGGGTGTTTGATCCTTTTTCAAATGTCAACATAGTAATGACACCCCAGTTGGAAGAAAAACTTATAGAACCTGACAACGAACGAGGAAATAAAAATCAAATACAAAAACTGCTACCAACGAATTAGTTGATGAAGCTCCCACCGACACTCTTGGACTAGCACTAGAATCAGGATTGATGAACAAAAAGGTGTTTGTAAAATGGTTAAAAGATTTTCAGGCACATACGAAATCTAGCAAAGACGATCCGGTTCTACATAATTGTGATGGTCACTCAAGTCATTAAATCATTGAATGTTTGGGTTATGCCAAAGAAAATGGTATTCATATGTTGTGTTTACCGCCACATTGCACCCATAGAATGCAACCCTTGGATGTTTGTATCTATGGACCACTAAAACTTATTTCAATTAAGAAATTTCTATGTGGCTAAAAATCATCCAGGGCATGTTGTTACCCATTTACAAATCGGGTGTTTGTTTAATGAATCGTATGGAAATGCCGCAACTGTTCAGAATGCAAGTAATGGCTTTAAAAAGACAGACATCTGGCCAGTTAACCCTAATATTTTTCCAGGATTGAAACGGCAGAGAATATTTCATTGAATCAGGAGTATATTCCAGACAGTACACCTGAAGAACTTCCCAGCTCACACCTGGCATCAAAGCAATTACTGACATACCCAGTTGCTACTATTTCGCCAAGCACCACAGGGGCAGTTTATTCGAGGTCAAGGAAAAAGAAAATTGAAACCTGTCAAAGGTGATTGACTTTTAACTTCTACTCCAAATATGCAAGAAACAATTGCTAAAAACCACCTTGCTCACCAACCAACCAACGGATCCACCGGTAGAAAAGAAGAGACAGGTTAAAAGAAAAATTTTTGATGAGGATAAAATAAATAAACCTGCTTCCAAAAACGCTCTACCGTCAGAGAAGAGATTGAGAGCATCGAGGCAGCGTACAACTGCTCTGATATATGATAGCTCAAGAAGCGAAGATTTGTTATGCGAGACAGAAGAGGACGATTCCCGTTCTTCCCGTTCTAAGCCCGGCGAAAGTTGGTTACAATGTACGACTTGTTTCCTTTGGGCTCATACGTCATGTGCGGATGTTCCAATTTGGTTGGGAACTGTGCTCTTAAAATTAGTATGTCATTATGACCTTTTACCTTATATGTCATTTTGTCCGTGCAATAGGGACAAAACGGTTTTTGTGATTAGTTACTTTTTTTTAAATATATATTTTATTATAGTTCCTACCTAATTAAAAAGCTGTTACTGATATTCAATGAACCTAAGATTACTCAAAACGATTGAGACTTATTATAATACCATTAAATAAATAAATATGATTAAAAAAGAAAATACCCTGTCATTTTGTCCGTACTTCTACAATAGTAAATCCACTTTTTTCAAAATTATGTTTTTACATCATTAAAATTGCAAGAACCATTTCTACAGAATAGTACAAAGCATTAAGTCCTACGACGCCTAATTTATAAAATAACCGATGTTAAGTGCGTTTTTTTATTACTTGCCAACAAAGATTTGTAGCGAAAACGCAACGAGACTTAAGCAATATCATCATGTATCCTAGTTCAGCGATATAAACATTGATTTTGTCTAGTACAGTAGGAGTGGAAATTGTTATAATTTTAGTTTATGGATCATCAGCTCCTTTTGTGCACAGAAAGAATACGAATGCGGGGGAATCTGTGCTTTATTCGGCTATGGTACAGATGCAATTTCAAATACAACGATTTTGAAATCGTTGTATTTGAGATTTGAAATTCAACCAATTCCACAGCACAACTTAACTTTTTTATTTATATCAACTTCTCCCATAATCCTTATAACTGAAAAGCGCAACTACATGTATATGATGTTATTTTTGGCAAAATAATGACCATACATTGGTTGTGGTAGAGAAGTAAATAAAAGTATAATATCATGATGCTTTAAAGAAATGATAAGTTAACTAACTTAACGAGGTACAAAATATTAAGTAATAATGAATCACAGATGATAATCTTCGCTATTAATAATTAAAGATACAGTTTAGTTCATTTTATTCCAATAACTATAAAACATTCTTTTAATTAATGCATTTAATGATTCACTCCACGCATTTTTGCAAAATCTTAAAAGCGAAATTTAAATACGACTTAAAAAAAAAACTAACACAGAATATCCATATTGTACGAATCGATCGCCAAAAAAAAAAAAAAAAACAATTAGTAAAAATAAATTAATAATAAATTTTTATTTCAAGTATGTTTGTGTTCTCGCTAAACTTATTGACATCGGTAAAATGAAGGCACGAAAATACATATATGTGCGTTCTGTATATTCTCAGTATAGGTATGAAAGAATAAGGAGATAATTATCAATAAAATTTATATTTAATGTAGTTCCCAACACCTCGATACTTTTTTATAGATGCAAAACACCTGCAGCCAATTTCCCACGTTCTTTTTTCTCTTATTGTCTCCGTTTCATTAGGGAGGCAGTAATACTTTTTTTGTGTCCCAAAACACTGTGGCGATGAACTTCTCGGCAGATGGTGTGCCTTTAAACTTCTTTGGTGGGTCTGTCCCTCTTTTAGGCCACGGCATGGACTCGTGCTCGCTCTCAGGATCATAGTGATGGCCCGCGTTTCATCACCGATAACGATTCAGTCGACAATAGTGTGCAGATTTTCAACACAAGTCTCCAAAAATTCCTTGCAACACTCAACTCGCGGCACCCATCGATACTGCTAGACAAAGGACTATCTATACAGACAATTATTATTCGAGCGTCCTTTGGCGTACCGACTATTTAGAGAATCTCCGTAGCACTGGTTGGTATACGGCAGTGTATTGTATCCCCGTAAAAGGGGCGATATATTGTACGACCCCTATCGGCCGTGGATCGAGCGCACGTGGGAAGCGAGGGCGGACGACTGGGCGAAGCGCGACGGGCACTGAGCACAAGCGAACGGACGCTCCCCGGTGTGGGTCCGCAGATGGTTGGCCAGGATCTTGTTGGTCTGCCGGGAGAATCACTGCATAGTATAAAACAAAGCCGTCCCGCTGTCTATCTGTCCCTATATACGCTTAGATCTCTAAAACTACTCAACGGATTTTGATGCGGTTTTCTTTAATAGATAGAGTGATTCAAGAGGAGGGTTTATATGTATAATTCATGCATAATATAGTAGAGAAACACTGATAACTTTAGAGGTTTCTAATGCGATGTCGAAAACAATCATGCAGCATTGCGGTCCGCTAGTCTTTCTACAGGGAGGTTTTTCTAAGCGTATCCATTTTTTTATTAAATTCTAAACAAAAAAATGTTACATAAAAATGATAAGTATTTAGAATTACTCGTAAGTAATTAATTACATTCTCTCAAAAAGTGCGTGATTTATACGCAACTCGTTTATTTTAAACGCGACGATTCATAACTAACACGCACACAAGTTCGTTTTACATTGTGACACCTACATAACTAAATTTTGTTACTACACGCGTATCATAGCACAAGTAAGTATATGATTACAATTTTCCTTCATACTTAGAACGGGCTAAGGGCTAAGGGCACCCCCGCGCGGGTGAAAGGGAAGGGAACGAAGTTTTATGACGCAATGCTTTGGACGCCGCCGTGCCGGCACGGGTTGTCTCCGATTTATCGCGAGCGCTTAGTTTTGTTTGTGTGCGTGCACAGTAAAATTTAGGTGTTTATGAATGACTACCGCATTGTCAACAAGTTCTGTTTTTTAAGGAATGGAATGGCAACTTTTTTTGAACAAAAAAAGTTTGTTTTTATTTCAAAAAAACTATTATACTACCGAGTCTGAACCTCCTGTGTAAATTTGGGCACTGTTTGAGTTGGTGACTGTTTGATTGTCGAAACACCTACAGGCACCTTTCGAAAAGCCTCCCTGTATAATACTTCTGAACGTGTGTATGTCACTGAACTCCTTCTAAACAGCTGGACCGATTTTAATCAATTTTTTTGTGTGATTCGAGGATGGTTTAGATTCACAATTCTTTTTTTTTCATTTATAAGTTGTTGTCGGATCTAAGTCGCATGTACAGGACAACGTCTGTTGGGTCCGCTACTAATATTATGTGATTGTAATTTGTTTGTTACGTTAATATGTTTCACGCCAAAACTAATCAACCGATTATCATGAAACTATGTATACATATTTTTAGAGGTACTAAAAAGAATAGGATGCTTTTTATTAAAAAAATATTTAAAAAAAAAGGATATCTTTACGGCTTGAATGCGGGCGAAGACGCGGGCGAAAAGCTAGTAAACAATATAATATAGAAGAGTTAGATAAGATGTTTTGGTAGAGCAGTTGTTAAGCTGTTGGATTAGGCGCCGGCGGTTGCGGTTTCGGTTTACAAGTGTGTGTGTGTGTGTGTGTGTGTGTGTGTGTGTGTGTGTGTGTGTGTGGTGAGCCACAGACAATTGTTCGGGATTCCCAGAGTTCCCAAGGAATTACTAAGGGTTACTCTCGTGTCGTGCCCAATCCCACCTGGGCGATATAAAGGCCGAAGAACGATGAAGTTAGCGGAACCTGTTAAGAGCCAGGGTTATGTGCCTAACTCCGGGAAAATTCTGTGCTCCCAAATTTTACTTTTTTTTATTTACGGATAGATTATATAAAATCATCTTTAAACTTACGGTGAATCCTCGGCCGCACACGTAACAGATTTTGTTCTTGGGCGGCATGATTCCTTCGTGGACCCTGCGATTGTGCTTCTTCAGATCGGCGTTACGGATAAAGTTCTGAAAGGTGATGGAAACTTCAATGGCAGTTCGAGGTTTTCTACGTGAAAAGTTGGCAAGCGAGCGGGCGGTTCCGCTGATTTTGCGTGATAGCACCCGAGTTACCAGACGCTTGGCCAATTAAATACCGCCCCGGTTACCTCACTCGACAGACGAATCGCTAAAATACTGGTCAATGTATCATAAGAGAATTAAAGGAGATGTTGAGTTGCGGAACTTCAGACGGGGGTAATCCCAAAACACTACTTAATATCTCTACATAGTATAAAGTCGTCCAGCTGTCTGTCTGTCGCTATGTATGCTTAGATCTTTAAAACTACGCAACGGATCTGCATGCGGTTTTTTTTAATAGACAGTGATTTAAAGGAAGGTTTATATGTATAATACATTGCTCCCGTGCGAAGCCGGGGCGGGGCGCTAGTAATACTATAAATTTGAATGTAATTTGCAGTGCCTGGAAAGGGCATCTAAGTTTCTGTATACTTCTTAATTGTAACACCTATTTATATAATGTACACTGAGATGGCAAATAAATGATTGATTGATTGAAATTATCGATTGTTACGCTTTCACACCTAAACTACTAAATTATATATATACCGGCTTATATAAGCTACCTATATACCGGCTATAAGGCTTCAACACGGACGGATCCGCGGGCGAAAAGCTAGTATTTAATAAACTTAAGGTATAGTGGATAAATGAATGCCAAAGTAGTGTCTACATGTCCGACGGCCGGGCAGACCCCTCTGTACAGAGCATCTTAGTGCATAGTCCACTATCACCACGCGACCTCATTGCGCTTTGGCGGACTTCACATATCATCATTTTTTTTTTCTTAATGTGTTATCCTCACGAGGTTCTCCTCACCACTAAGCACGTGATAAGTGAGCAATTGAAATTAAAAATTCCATTGGTGCCGGCACCGGGATTTTAAGGTTGCTAGTATTATTTAGGTTAAGTAGGTGCTGAAATGTAACCCCGTTGTTTATTTTTTAAGAACGAAATTGACAAAAATTAGGCGGACTCGTATCCGTGTCCCAAGAATGCACAGCAAAGACGTTGTTGCGGCGCCATCTATCGGCGCCGTGTAATGACGCAATGAATGTGCTGACGTGGACGGGGGACCATCACCAGCGGCCAACCATTGTTATAAGGTTTGTTTTGTATAACGAAATGTCCAGAACTCACTAGCAATTCAAATTTCTTACGGGTCACTCACTATAAACTATTTAATCACGTGGCCTACCCAACAGACCTCATTGGTTTAATTTAAATGTTTAAAACATCTGTATTAATTCACAAAAGGTTGGACAAAGTACTTCCCCAAAGTACAAGAATACATTAAATAAAAAATGGGAGACAATACCGGACCTTGTTGCACTCCTCGCAGCGATATTTGAAATTTTTCAAGTGTACCAGATTGTAGTGGTCCTTCATGTAGATGTTTTTTGAGAACACTTTATCGCATTCCGGGCACGGGATCCTATTGGAAAATAACAAATTGAAATCCAACAGCTTCTAGATTTGTCAAAGATTAGAGAGACTTTAAAAGTTACTAAAAATTCTGTTTCGACTATTTCATGTAATCGCAATCCATAGGTGTTAGAACATGTAATTTAAATGTATAGTTTTGTATCATAAACACCTCACTTTGGTTGCGTTTAAGCTGAAATTAATGTTCTTGAAACCTAAATTTTAACATATTGTCATTGTATAATTAGTGACGCATACAAACCGTCACGGATAGATGCAAATAGAAATGCCAAAGAAAGACGCGAACACGCAAACGCAGACAGACAGACAGACATACAGATGCGAGGCGACATCCATACACAAAGAGTGGCAGGGCCACGCAACTGTTCGGCTGTTGCACGAATAGGCAGGTCCGTCCCGGTAAGTAGTGCGACCTCGCACAATGTCGTGAAGTGGAAGTGTTGTACTCCTGCGTTTCGTCTGATGAGTGATCTGATGAGGTAATAATTTTACTTTTCAACCCTATAAAAACACACACACTCACGCACGACAACGGTCACCACTTGCGCCACCAACCTGCGCTTCGGTCGCGGCCGGTGGCGCACGCTGTTCGCCAGGTGCCACCCGTAGCTGTACCGGTCCGGGTAGCGCCTGTCGCACTCGACGCAGTATGCGGGCGGAGTGGGCGCGCCGTGGCGCACCTTGTTGTGCAGCCACAGACCGTTGTAGCGCGCGAACAGCTTCGAGCAGGGCCTGCACTCGAATGGAGAGTGCTGCTTCCTGGTTAAAAAACAAAGTTAAGTGACGTCGCTAGAGGTTTACTGGTAAAAAAAAACAGGCCAAGAGCGAGTCGGACTCGCGCACGGAGGGTTCCGTACCATTATCTATAAAAACGGTAAAAAAAAACTTATTTGTTGTATCCCCACTTAAATATTTTATTATTCTGTTTTTTTTTTAGTATTTGTTGTTTTAGTGGCAACAGAAATACATCATCTGTGAAAATTTCAATTGTCTAACTATCGTGGTTCATGAGACAGCCTGGTGACAGAGGAACAGACAGACAGACAGCGGAGTCTTAGTAATAGGGTCCAGTTTTACCTTTGGGCATGGATTCCTAAAAAGGAAAAAAATACATTTTTTTATTGTTTTTTAATATTTGTTGTTATAACAGTTCTTATACCATTATAAGACCGACAACAGATAGGACAAACAAGGTCAGAATCAGTGTCTAAATTATCACTTTAATACAATCCCATCCTGGACACATTCTATATGCAATTTGTTCAGCAACTTTTAAAATTTGAGAACAGTTGTAGAATTAAAAGTAAAAGAATGTCACTCTGTCTTACACTATTTACCTATCAAGAAGTTAACAAAGGCCATTTTAACAACTATGGATGCTCTCTACTGATACACATAGATATGATATAGATTGGTAAAATTTTATTGTAGTCAAGAATGACACATTAATTCAAATATTACTTTTTCTAAAGGAGACGAACAGTGACAACTTTCTATGTTATATATCTTACTAGAATCAATTGAGCCGAGATTAGACATTGAACATTATAAAGACAAAAGTTTGTGGAACCTTTTACCCTTTCATGCCACAGCTGTATCGATAACCATAAATATAATTTTTATGAAGACAGCTTAAACACAAAAATAACATGTAGCATACTTTCACTCCATATACAAATAATTATTAAATTATGGAAACTACCAACTGGCTATGGTTGTGGGTAGAACCTAGTTACCGTATATGATCCTTGATACAATATCTCATCGTGAAACTGATACCGCACGTATCACACACAAACTTTTGGTGCCACTCCTTGTAGTGCTTGAAGAATTCTTGGCGGCACCTGCAAGTTCAATGCTCAGATCAAATGTTTGTTTCAATTTTTAATTTAGTTTCAATACTGGCATCTTTACTTAAATTATAAAAAACTTGGAACCTTTAAAAAATAACTTCAACAGCACTGCCATAAACTTAAATAGGCCATATGAACTGAATTTATCAAAAAATTTAAATGAAGTATTTTACATTCATCACCCCCATAAGATCAAATAACCCAAACAACATATTCATCATTATGCTCCACTAATTCATACATCCATCATAAACCAACTGAATGCAGAATGTTTGCATTACAATTTAATGTAAACACATTTAATTAATTTAATGCTCACCCAAACAACAATTCACATTTCACACACTGCAATACTGTACTGTGGTCTGTCCCCACATGTCTCGATCTATCATTTTTCTTGTAACAATGGTAATTGCAAACCCTGCATTTGTACATAAAATAGTGACTCTGGACATGCCTTGACAATTTGCACCTGTCTGACAACCGTCTATTACATATATCACATACATATGATTCAACATTCTGAAAAAGGTGGTTTCAAAATATAACTAACAGTCTATTAAAATTATATACTGAAAATTGTAATTACAAAAATATAACACTCCCATTGTTTTATTATATTAATGGTAATAGCTGAACAAATTTAAGTTAGGCTTGTTAGGGTTATCAGCTAGTGTGTTAGTTAGGGCTAGTTAGAGTTAATGTTACATGAGTAACACTAACATTTGTCACAGTAAAGTAACTTTTATTTAGATAAGTTATTGGCTATAAATATGTATTTTGAAATAATAATTTTGTATTAACTAGAAACTAATCGGTTTAGTCTTTAGATTTCATGAATTACATACAAATTAATGAAAGAATGCCTATCATTTTAAATTAATGGTGCATTATGTTGTTAAAATAAAAGTAACGGGGAAACACAAAGACACAACAATGCAAGAAACATACAAAGATAAAGAGAATGGTATTGTTTGCAAGACAAAGTTTATTTATCTACTTACTTTTTCATGACACTTCTTAATGTGTTTCACTAACATGTCCCTTCCACAAAATTTGATCATGCATTTATCACACTTGAATTCCTTTGATTTATAATTAACAAGCTCTCTTTCGCCATTGAGGTGGTTGCGCATCTCTCGTTCGTCTAGTCGAACTTTTGAGAAAATTGTGTTAATATGAGAATTAGTATCTTCAATGACTTTGAATTTAATTTTCTTGTTCAACATTGCTCTCTCCTTTGCCCATTTATTGCTATTGGGTTTTTTCTTTCTGTCAATGATTTTTTTCGTTTCGTTTGTGACTTCTTCGTCTTTACCATTACTAAGTTCAATTTCATTTTTAACTGTTGATTGTTTGCTTTCATTAATAACATTATTACCCACGTAAGCATAATCTGACTCTCCGGAGGTTTGAATTAAACCATCATTTATGCTTTGGTCAATATGTGTATCTGTTTCCTTAGTATGTGTTTGATCAAAAACATATACTGCATTGGGTTGATTGCTACTCAGTATTACAGTTGTTAAATTTGACAAAGAACAAAACATGCTCTGAAACAAGAGTCCTACAAAAATTATAAGAATTTAAAATATTTTTAAATAATAATTAATGGATAGGATTTTGTGATTGTCAAACAAAGTTTCGCTCAAATGAGCCAATGGTTTGTTTAATTTTGAGGGCTCCATTTGTCCAAGCCAAGTGTCAAGTATTCTTTAAAAAAATCTAATAAAAAATAAATTTTCATATACTTTCAAGAAATGAAATCCATGATTTCATACCATAATGTTTTGGAATGGCAACTAACTCTCGCTGTTATTCATTCTTTACCGTTTATAAACATTGTAAATGTTTGGTGTTGACCTTTTGTAAATTATCTTCAACAAAAAATCCAATTTCTCACAGTAAAACTTTAGTAGTTACCTGGCCCATTCTCAACATCTCATTGGCTCTCTGCACTTGATGTTGAAATCTTTCCACATTCCTCAGAAGTGTATGGCATTCCCAACATAGATGCAATTTTTCACTGCCATTTGATGACTGAAATGTAGGAAAATCTGTAACTCACAGATTTAAAAAGGAGAACAAAACATCTAAATTTTCATAAAAAACATATTTTAATCACCAAAAAAAGGTATGTAGGAAGCAACTTGAATTTTAATGGGGTGGTGATGTTACAAACGCCAGATGATATAGGTGATTTAATTTTGTTAGTGCGATGAATACAAGGTTTTTTTCATTTAAAATGCATGATAGATAAAATCTTATCCTTTAAATGGGCAATTCTTGTATGTATATATGTATATCGGAAACGGCTCCAGCGATTTTCATGAAATTTAGTATGTGCGTAGATTTGGGGACGAAAAATCGATCTAGCTAGGTTTCATTTTTAGAAAATGTCCTTTTATCAATATTTTCAGGGAATGAAAAATATCATATGCTAATGCTAAACTAATGCTAGCACAATCCTTACTCTTGTCCATTCTCGATTATGCGGATGCAAGCTATCTTGATTTAACCGAAGAACAACTAAATAAACTGAGCGTATTCAAAATTTTGCTATTAGGTTCATATTTGGTTTACGCAAATATGATCACGTTTCCGAATTTCGTTCAATGCTCAAGTGGTTCCATTCGTTTACGCCGGAATCTACACACTGTCTCTCTTCTGTACTGTGTATTATTTAACCCTAGGACTCCAAGTTATTTAAAAGAACACTAAGTTCCTTGGCCTTAACCATCCAGAACGAGTTCTGCGATCAGCTGCTGAGAGATCTTATTCTAGCACCACATGCGTACAAAACTAAATATTATAAGAACTTCTTTACAGTTATGGTCAGCGACAACGCTCCTAATGTTCTTGGTGCGGTTCGCTTAGAGGAGGTTGGCGTTCTATAGGATGTTTCCCTCACGGTGTGAATTTGGTCGTTCAGAACACCCTTAAATTTGAAGGTTTCAAAAAAAACTCTTAGCAAAGTTAAAGACGTCGTAGAGTACTTTCATCGAAGCATTCAAGGTACTAAAATACCTACGAGAAATTCAGGCACAAATGAACCTGCCTGAACTCAAATTAAAACAAAATGTAGTGACCTGATGGAACAGCACGTACGAAATGCTACAGAGAGTATTTATAATGAAAGATGCGAAGTGATTTAACCCTTTTTAATGAAGACTGGGAAATAATAGAAAAAGTTATAAGAATTCTGAAAACACGACTGCAGCTGGCATCATCGAAATCGATAAGTATTTACAAGAGCCAATAATTATGAGGAAGGAGGATCCACTTGCCTGGTGGAAAGCAAGAAAAGCAGTTTATCCGCTTTTATACTCTTTCGTTTTAAAACGTTTGAATATTACAGCGACCTCAGTTCCGTGCGAGAGAGTGTTTTCCAAAGCAGGCGCGATACTTAGTGAAAGACTCACTCGTCTCAATTGTAAAAAAAATTCCCAATTAATTTTTATAAGTTGTAATAAGTGAATAAAAATATTATATGTGTTAGTTGATTAAGTATCAAAATACAGATAAATAAAGCCTAGTGGCGACATCTTATGTATCCTTATGAGCCGTGTATGTAAACTGTGGGTTGTCTATTATAAGTTGTCTATAATAAAAAAATATACTGTCTGTTGCGAACCGTTTAACGTTTTTTCAATAGGTTATGGGCGATCCGAATTTATCAGATATTTTCAGTGTAAAATAGATAAATTGTGTACGTTGTTTCGCGGAAACATGACAACGAACTATATTGCTAGTGTGTCAAAACTTAAAGGCAGAGAAAATTACGAAAATTACGAAAATTACGAATTGTTGGTGCTTGAAGGCATGGAAAAGTACATCAAGCCAACAGTAGATTATGAAATAAAGGCAGTAGACGACGCTAAAACGAAGGCAAAGTTAATATTAACTATCGATCCGGCTTTGTATGTACATATAAATACCAAGAGCTCTGCAGAATTATGGACTAAGCTAAAAACCATGTTTGATGACTCTGGTTTCTCAAGAACGTTGCTACCACATTTGGTAAATGTAAATAACTTTAACTCCGGCGTAATTCAATTGAAATAAATTTTAAACGATAGAGAGGGATCACTAATGAATTAATCAACAAGCAGAATTCGGCGGTCGCTTATAGTTTTCGAGAAATAAATATTTAAAACTTGTTATTTTCACTAACAAAGTCCGCCATTCGCCAACGTAATTAATACACAGTTCTGCCAACATGATGAATATAGGAAGCGGGCGACGTCATGTCCTAGCGATTATTCCATTAATTATTTTTTCCTCCTAAATATTTTAATCAATGTCTCATTTTCCGATTCGATAAAAATTTTAATCGATAGAAAAATGTTAATAATCAAATATAGTTTAGGTTATAATCCAAGAAAACTCTTAAATATTAGGCGCCAATACCAAATAAACCAACAATATGAAACAAAAAAGTCAACGCTACGTTATTCATATTGAAATATTATGGACATTTTTTTAAATTTTATATCGATTATAAATCGATTAAATTGTTTTTACAATTTAAATTACTATGAAATAAGCTAAATTAGGTTTAACATTTATTTACTAATTGGTTAGGTTTATGGTTGCATCTTTTTAATTTATCACGGACCCTTTTCCGATTAGATAAGGTTCAAAATGAGGCCCAGATCCGACACAGAGCACCCCGACTCCATGTAGTCTTGTGGTCCCTACCCCTAGAGTGAACATAATAAGGCGGAGCCAGAACCTCGCGACGGACACTCAGAGGCGACATAGCGAGTGTTCTGGTGAAGACTGTGTGTTAGATTTACAACGGAAGATTTTTAGATGTTACAATACATTTAGTAAATCAAAGAAAAAGAACTAAAATGTAACACTCAAATTTCAATTTTTAAAAACTTTTTTTTTATCATGTCAAATTACCTTTTGAAAGAGTGTGTGAGTTTATCAATATATTCTTGCGCGTCCCCATTCGCGGCCGTATGCCATTAGTTATGAAAGAAATGAAAATATCTAAAGTTACGTAGGGTAAAGGTTGGCTAAATGGTGATATATAGCAATATGGTGATAATTTTGCTTTCAACGGTCTTTATAATGTCCAGCGCGAGTTTTGCGTTCATTCAATGAACTGAAGGCGAGTATGTTCATCTCTCTTTCATTTGGCCGCTGGTTGCTGTCCTCGCCGGACGCGGTTTATTTGTTTCGCGCCAAAATATGCGAAAAAATGGAGGATAATCGGTACGTAAATATCACCAAATTACCAAAAACATTACATAGCTTATTTTTATTTTATTACAAGCTTAATTTGAATGGAGTTTTCAGGGTAGATGAAGCTCGAAATGCTGTATCTTTCTGTTAAAAAAAATATCGGGTTGTGTTTCATTAGTCCGGGTTATAGTCTTACGTATTGGATGATTTTTCTTACAGGAACAAGTCCGGAAAGGCAAATAAAAGGAAAATGAAGGGCGAGAAACGCAGAAATTATGACTCTTCACGCTTCAAGGAGTCTTATATGAAAGTTATAAAGGATAATTGGTCAGTGTACAAGGCGTCGAAGGAATATGGCATACCGTGGTCTACTTTGAGAAGACACATAGCTACTCATGGAGGTGAAAGTTTCGACTTACCTAAACTTGGGAGACCATTCACATTAGACAGCGACCTTGAATGTAAGTTTGTTTCCTACATAATTAAAATGCAAGAACTAGGATTTGGTCTCAGCGTCACAGACATCAAAGCTAAATGTTACGGTTTAGCAGTCCAAGCAGGAAAAGATCACCAGTTTAACGATGCTAAACGTAAAGCTGGGCCTTATTGGTGGTGGTCGTTTAAAGAACGGTACGGGCTTTCATTGCGCACGCCAGAAAAGCTTGCAGCATGCCGACCTGTTACTGCTAACAGACAAAACATTGACGATTTTTATAAAAAGCTACTGGACGTCGTTATTGAGCTGGATATTCTGCGAAAGCCTGAAAGGATTAATAACTGCGACGAAACCGGTGTAACGTTCGTCGTAAAACCGTCAAAAATTGTCACTCAAACTGGAAAGAAGGTAATTTACAGTAGAACTTTTGCAGAGAAAGGTGTCACACAAACGGTGCTTGGGTGCTGTAGTGCGAGCGGAGCGTCTGTACCCCCTTTGATAATT